CCTGACTGGACTGGAGACACTGCTGTCCCTCTCCTCTCACACTGCCCCTGAATTCACACACTGAGACACTCCTGACTGGACTGGAGACACTGCTAGAGACACTGCTGTCCCTCTCTGGTCAAACTCTGATTTCAACAACTCAAAAAAACTCAGATATGACTTCAGATATGAACAAATCACATCTGAACTAGTACATTACAAAGAGGACTTGATAATCAAATCACTGAGGAGCCATACACAACCAGTGCAGTAATTGTTATTAGTAATTAATAACAGCGGATTGAAAAAATATGACTCAACACACATGAAATAAATAAACCAGCAGCTGGTTTTGCTCATTAAATCTTCTTTCATTCAGGCCTGCTTTGTAGACCTGACAAGACACAGTGTCCAGCATCTAGGCTGCTGACTAATATTATAGCAGCTCCAAAAATAGAGCTGGACGCGGGACAGGGGTGAGAGAGGGAGCAGGAGAGGCCGACAGAAAGAATCGCACAGACCTTTAGCAGGAAACGGTGCCTTTCGGAGCTGGTTCACTCCACGCCTCTGCCCACACGCGCCCTGAGACCCACCTGCAGGAGCTGTCCCGTGTTCCCGTAGCGCACCGGGACTTACCTGCACTCTGTGTCGGCTCGGTTTCGCCTGCCCTGCAGGACTCTCGCACAGACCCACGCCCCCCACTCCCCGCCCCCCTGCCCCGGCCACTCCACGCTTGACAGACAGGGGCAGGTGCCCCGCGATCACCAGCACAGGGAGGGGGGGGAAGAAAAGCAAAAGCACTCCAGCCCAGCTCGCAAACACCTCGCCCACAGAGAGATCATCTAATCTGAATAATTCCTCACACTTACAGTATACAGTGCTATTCTGGACACTCCACTGACAGCGCTGTACGGGTAATGGGGATCCCCTCCACACCCACCTGGGTGATGCGCCAGTCCGCTCCCCACACACCAGCTCTCAGTGGGGAGGAGAGCAGAGGGATGAAGCCAGTTCAGAGATGAGGGTTATTAGGAGGCCATGATGGGTAAAGGCCAGGGGGGAATTCAGCTGGGACACCAGGGTAACACCCCTACTCTTTTCAAAGAACATGCTGGGATTTTTAATGACCATAGAGAGTCAGGACCTCTCATCCAAAGGAAAGCACCTTTTTACAGTACAGTGTCCCCGTCACTATACTGGGGCATTAGGACCCACACAGACTGCAGGGTGAGTGCCCCCACTAACACCTCTTCCAGCAGCAGCCTTAGTTTTTCCCAGGAGTCTCCCCTCCAGGTACTGGCCAGGCTCACACCTGCTGGGCTCCAGTGGGCTGCCAGCTGGGAGCTGCAGGGTGACAGGGCTGCTAGCTATGCTGGGTGTTCTTACTGGCTGTTCGGCTGAGAAATAGAGAAAAGTTCAGTTCAATCTTTTCAATCACTCCTGCATCCCGGACAGTAACTAAATGAAAATTGAGTGTAATTTCCCAAGCGTGTATTTGTCTCATGTTGCTCTTCTGTGCTATGTTGTGTGTTCTCAAAGGTGGGGGCTATGTGAAATTTTTCCAGGGAGAGACTCTGTTTCCCACCTGCAGCCAGTGTCCCAGGGCGGAGAGCTCTGAGTGGGGCTGTGAGCGCCCCCCACTGGTAGTATTGACTGGGGCACCTGTGGGGCTCTGCAAGGCTGAAAATCTGGTGCCCCTTCCTCACAAATCTAGTGAGGCAGCCTAATGCTGTCTGTCTTATTAAAAAAAGGGTAGTGTGCTGGCAATGGCGCTCAGGATCTGTGCCTGTGGCTGGAGGGTTGCTGGTTCAAATCATGCAGCTGGTAGAGGAATCCTACTCTGTTGGGCCCATGAGCAAGGCCCTTAACCCCAGCTGCTCCAGGGGTACGGTATAAATGGCTTCTCTCCCTGTCTGTATGTCTTATGGAGAGCATATTGGGGTATGCAAAAAGACAAATTTGTAATACAAGAAATTGTATATGGCCAGTAAAGTGATCTTATGTTACTGTCTGTCCCTGGCTTTCCATTTTTGCCTCAGAACAGATATTTTGGGTGTTTCGGTATTTATTAGGTCATTTTGTAAGCCTGCTCTACATTTGTACACTTTATTTTATTTGGTCTATGCGTTCACCTGAAGGCCTGCGTCTAATTAGCATTGTACGTCAAATACGTGTGGTGTCTACAGACTGCTGCCGCATTTTACGCAACAGGAAACGCAAGCACGCAGCGCGCCTGCCCACGCCGGCGGCAGAACGAACGGGTCATAGTGGAAAATTTTTATTTCTATCCCCGCCTATTTGGTGTGTCGTCACCTATGGGCACGCCCCCCGGCCGCACTAGTCACGCCCATTTACGTGTTTTCCAACACACCGGTCTCTTCCCTGTGTTCCGCCTCTGATAGTTCTAACCCCTCCCATTTCTCTCATGGCCACACCCCTCGTATTTAAAAGGCTTCGGCCCAGCGGTCTGGGAGACCATTCTGCTGTAGCGAGGAGACGGGACGGTTCTGCGTGTGTGCAGCCATAGGCCGGATGGTTAAATCCAACCTACAGACGATACTGAATAGCCACTGTTTTGTCAGAGAAAAAGAAGGAAATATAACCAAAATGCCAGTCATCCGATTGACCAGTAATATCAACAAAAGCGAAAGGTAAGGACGAGGGGCAGGCGCTTGGTTCCAGGCGGGGGGGATGATTTGGCGATACCGGTGGCGGTAGGTCGGTGGTAGGCTAGGCCCTTAACGCTAGGCCGTGGTTGAGCCGTGTGGCCTACTTTAGAAGCGAAGTGCTTATTTTGTAACCTTTAGCCGGTGGCTCACGGATATAATATTTAAATACTTTACTAACTAAAATGACTACTTTACTGTTATGTAACGTAAACAGATTGCGTCGCGTGTTTTTTATTTTTCTGTACGGCTCTACAGTTATGTAAGCGGTTCAAAACCGTGTTGGGTCGCTTCGACTCCTGTACCATCGTTTCCAAGCTGTTCGACCCTAAACCTGAACCCTTCGCGCCCGTTTTCATTTCTTTAAATCGCCTTTTTTTAACGTGGCTTTCGGTCTTCGTTAAGATCGTCATAAATACGGCTTTAATTCACGCCTCATGGCAGTCGAATTTATAATATGCCCTTACATAATTTTGCATAAGGTCCCCAAAGGCAGTGAATTTTCTAGAACTTATTTCTGATGTCTCCTGATGTTAATGAGCTTTTCCCTAAGCTGTGTTCTGCCCCGAGGTGTGTGACGTCGTGTGCTCGGGTCTCTGCTCGCTGTCGGGCAGGAGTCGAAGTTATTTTGCTTTTTTTTTTCGTGTAGGTGTTTCGTTTTTTTGTAAGATCCGCCTCGGAGCGCACCCGTCTGCAGTGTGCGGTCCCGTCATGTGAAATAAAGTCGGGATCGCAGATGCAGAAAGGGGTGAGCCTTTTCGAGGGCAGGTCATCTCGCAATCCGCGGACCTCCTCGGTTATGTAATCGAGGGAAAGGGGATTTTTTAAAGCCCCGAGGTACCGCGGCCCTCGGATTGACAGGCTGGTGACGTCAGCCCCTACGCTCGCGGCCCCGCAGGTTGCGTCATCGGCTCCGTGCTTTCGACTGCTATCAAACGCGTCGGTGTGGCCATGTTGCAGCTGTGAGATCGGAGAGGGTGTTAAATAGGGAGTAGCCGATGTACAAGACCCCAGGTTCAGCGGTATCCGAATATTCATATTGTTCCTGTTCTCTAGTTTGTGTGGTGTTGTCTACTGTGTAGGCATCCGCGCAACTAGGAATTCCGATGTCCGTGTACTTATGGCGATAAACTGCCCTACTGCTCCGTTGATCGCAGTTATTGCCATTTCTGCATGAAGTGTGGCCTCGTTTGACGGTTTTGAGTGGGGAGTGGTTGTTTCTGGTCCTTCCAGCTACCTGTCAAGTGGTGTGGTCTCTCGGGGGGAGGGGGGGGGTGTTGTACAGATGTGGTCTTCCTGGAAGGAAAATGAGGCCCTCGTTTGTCCAGGAGATAACTGGGCAACTAAATGTCTCCACACCCGGGTGAACATGGACCAATCAAGTAACAGTCCAGTCCAGTCTTCCCACACTTTTCTCCTTAAAGTGGTATTACTCAGTGTGATAGTCCGCTTTGCAGTAGACAAGCTGGGTACATCTGTACTGTACAGCACCACTGTAACTGTGCGTGTGGTGAGTGACTCCATGCTCAATTTTGTCCTAAACTCATTCCCAGCACTAGGAATGTGTGCCGAGAGCAGCTCCTGCAGTTCTCCAGTCAGGGCGAGTCCCTGCCCCCACCAGGGCCCCAGGTCATCGGTGATCTGCCTCCCTGCACCGCCGCGCCGCCGGCCCCCGCGGACGTGTCGAAACCCGCGGATGCTGGAGCAGCTCCCGGAAGCCAGCTCTTGCTGTGCGGCCAGAGTCCAATCCCGATTCGTTTTTTTTTTTCCGGCTAATGTTTTAATCGGACATCGGCAGCGTGGGATTCCTGTTTTTCCCATGGAGTCTTGGTGATGATGTGTTGATGATCTGATCCAGGTCTGGGGTTTTAAAAACCTGTGACCTTGGAATATTCCACTGGACACGAGCTGAAGTCCTTGGTTTTGTTGGGGTGGGGTGGGCAGGACCATTCGGTGTCATTGGATGTTTAGAAAACAACAGATCATAAAACATGGGTCACCTCTTTAGTTAATATTTAATATAAGAGGATGAAATCTGTGTGTGGGTTGAAATCCTCATTCTCAACCCAAATGGAACCCTTTTGGCTGTAACAAAGGGTCGTATTTGCTGCCTATATACGTTCTGTTAGTTCTGCATTTTCTCCTTGTTGTTCAAATATTTGAAGAAGCGGCTGGAGGTGCCTGTGACAGTTTCCTGTCCCCCTGTGGTTTCGGCCTGCATGCCTGGCGTCTCCTGCCCCCTCCCCCCCCCAGGCAGGAGTGGGCCGGATCTGCAGTGGAGCTGGGAGGTCAGGAGGTCTCCGCTCCCGCTGTGGCTGACTGGTCCACGCGCAGGGGGGTGGGAGACGAGCTCGTGCGGGCGTTCGCCTCTCGCCTCCGACTGCTGGGCCCTGGCCGTTCAGCGCGACCCATCTGGGGGGGAGCAGGGTGCGGCGGCAGGTCTGGTCTGGAGGGACAGTGCCGGGGTCCAAAACTGTCGGTGCACCCAGTCCAATTGGGAGCTAGAAGTGTCTCCCCCACTGGTGCCCCAGGTGGAGGGAGAAGGGGGAGCAGGCGTCTGCCTCTCTGAGTTGGCCGGCCCTTAGCGCCATGGGGGG